CATCTCCTCAATCAGGTTTTTAACCTGGACAAAAGTAGAGACCATCTTCTCAGAGGAAAGGGGTGCAAAGCTACTCCAGCAGCCTGACTCTTGAAAGGCAGGAGTCCATCCATGGGCAACAGCAGCTCTGCTCCCCACCAGCAGCCAGCCCCTCTCCCCCTGGCCAGGCTGGCCCCACCAGGTGGGTTTTCCATGCCTCAGAACCATTTGTCCACAGCCCTCTGGGCAATGAGGCAGGACACACAGGGTTTTTCCCTCTCGTGTCTCCCTTTTTGCTCTGCTCAGCTTCCCCACACCAGCAGCCTTATCCCAGACGTTTCTCTGGTGTCCCCACAAGCACCGAGGCTGGACCTTGCAGGGAGGTTGGTTACCTTGTTCTCTGTGGCGTGTTTCTCCTTCTCCACCTTGGCCAGCGTGATCTCCAGGTCGTCAATGTCCTTCTTCAGCTCTGCACACTCATCCTCCAGCTTGCGTTTCTTGGCGGTGAGCTCCGAGGTCATCTCCTCCTCGTCCTCCACACGCTCCATCAGCTCCTTCACCTTGGCCTCCAACTGGATCTTGGACTTGATGAGCAGGTCGCAGCGTTCCTCTGCATCTGCCAGGTTGTCTTGCTCCTGGGAGAGGCACAGGAGAGCCAGCACTCACCCTCTGCCCCAGGACCCTGCTCTCAGCCCTGCCTTCTCCTTGTGGAAGGGGCAGAGCGAGCCTGAGGTGCTCAGGTGTACAAAAAGTACAGCTCCAGTCACTGCCTGTCATGAAGGTTCTACCATTCACACTAATCAGGGCCAAAGAGCAACTCAATCTTTCCAGATGGCACAAAAAGCAGCACAAAATTCGGCAAGCAAACATTCCAATCTCCTCCCACTCCCCTGTGAGGAGAGCACCCTTCCTAGAGGCAGGGGATCACAAATCCCTGTGACAGCCCCAGCATGTCATGGTACTTCAGGTCTGCTGTCTTAGGTTGTGTTTCAGACAGATTGTGGCAATGAGGGAGCTTCAGAAGTGCAAGAGGCTGAAGGAGGGCTCCATGATATTCTGCTCCTTCTTCTGCCCATGGATCCTGCACTGTCTTAACACCCCCAGAGTGAGGGTGAGGCACTCACTGCCTGCAGCTGGAGAGCCAGGTCATTCTTCTCCTGGATCATGGAGACTTGCTTCTCTTCCAGCTCCTTCCTCTTAGCCTCAGACTTCTCCAGAGCCTCCTTCAGCTTCTGGAATTCCTCCTTCAGGTTGGACATTTCCTTCTCAGTCTGAGCAGACTTGAGCAAAGGCTTGATCTTGAAGAACAGCTTCATCCAGGACCAGTTCTTGACAGCGTTGAAGGCACGGATGTTCCACTGGATGGTGTAGAGGGCTTCCCTGGGGGAATACAAGCACAGCATCATCAGGGGTGGACATTACCCATGTCTCATCCTGGCTTCTGCAGGCCCGGATATGGCTCCATTCTCCACCAGCTAGACAAATGGCATGATGGTGAATGAATGGGACACTGTCTGCACTCTGTACTGGCCCTGCTGGGATGGGTGGGGTGGCCTGGATCTCCTCACTCTGCCTCTCTCTGAATCTTCTAGTGGAAACCAGAGGCTCCCCACTCCTAGATCCTCCCTACCAGGGCCATGCCAGATCTCTTCCAGGTCTGCCTCCATCCCTCAGGACCAACCACTGCCAAACCCCACAGGTGAAACCCATGGACACGAGCAGAAGAGACAAGGAGACACAAAGTTCTGCCTTTTGCCCCCCATCTACCTCCTGCTGATGATCTTCTGATACTCCACACGCATGAGGTACCCACGGATCCTGGCCTGGAGCATTGTCAGGACCTTGGCCAGACGCTCATCTCGCATCTCCTCCAGCAAGCCCAGCAAACCAGCCTTGAAAAACACCTGTGGGCAAGAGAGTGGAGTCACCAGCAGAAGGACAGAGGGCTCAGGGAAACACAGCCTATTGTAAATGCAGGTGAACCCGGTGGGGAGAAATGATGATGTCTGACTCCAGTTCAGAAGGCTGAATGATTTCTTTATTATAACTATACTATAATGCATTAATATACTATTTAAATGAGATAATAAAACTACAAACCTACTTTTCCTAACTACCATATCTCACTCACAACTCCTGCATCTCTCGAGAGTCCAGCCACAGGTGGATCTGATTGGCCATCAGGCTCAAACAATCCTCACCAGAATCCAATCAAGCAATCACCCCAGGTAAACAATTCTCCAAACACATTCCACATGAGAAAACAAGGAGCAGAAATAGAAATTGTTTTCTCTTTCTTTCCTCTGTGCTCCTCTATGAAAAAAACCTGAGAGAGAGAAGAATGTGCCTGCCACAGCAGCCTGCCAGGGAAACATGGAGGAGCACCCACACATGGCACAGGGAACCAGACCTGCCCTGAGCACATGATGCGCCCCAGCAGGGACAAGGTGATGTGGTGGGTGGGATGAGGTCAGGCAGCAGTGGCCTGCTCAGAGCTGTTCTTTCTCTTCCCAGCCTGGTCTGAATCCTCCTCTGCCCTCCTGAGTCCCTGCAAGGGCCACACAGAGCCTGCAGAGTGCAGGCCTACAGCAGAGACAGGCACGGAGAGTAACAGCAGGGGAAATTTCTCCCTCCTGAGGATCAGCTGCCCGCTCTCACCTTGGTGTGACCAAACTTGTACTGTGCACGGTCCAGTTCCAGGGAGCTCAGCAGCTTCTCTGTGGCCTTCCTGCTGTCCACAAACTTGTCTTCTGGAATGGCTGCTGGATTTAGGATACGGTAGCTGCAGGGAAAAGCAGAGGGAGGCCATTCAAGAGGACTGCAGCAGCAGCAGCCCAGAGCCCCAGGCATCCCAGTGCCCACTGGAGCTGTGTGAGCCAGTTGCTCCAGGGCATAGGATTGCAGCACCAGGGAACCCTGGCAGACTTTAGCCCCTGAACATCAGGGAGACTGTGCCAGGAGGCCACTGCCCTCACTAGGCCTGGGCTAAGCAGCATGGATGGGACCCTAAAGTGACAACCCTAAGGATCCATCCCAAGGGCAGAGAGAAGTCTGAGCCAGGATCAGAGAGGCCTGAGCCTTGCCACCTTCCCCCTGCACCAGATCTCATGCAAATATCCAGATCTCATCCCAAACTCTCCATGTCTGGCACCCCAGAGCCAGCAGCAGAACTATCCCCAACTGGACAGGCACCGGGGGTATGTGGGGGCTCAGACCAGCTCTGCACAAGCTGGGGAGCAGGTAGGAGCCAGGACAAGTCTGTCTGCCCTCCAAACACGTGCTGGGTGAGGAAGAAGAGGGGGTTACCGCTGCTTGAAGTCTGCGTAGAGGATCCTGTTGGGGAAGCCCTTGCGGCAGATGCGGATCCCTTCCAGGACACCGTTACAGCGCAGCTGGTGCAGCACCAGGAAGGAATCCATGGCTCCTGTGGGGCAGGACACACATGGAGCAGATGCTCAGCCCAAGAAGACAGAGGAAATGGAGCTGCAGCCCGGGTCTGAACCCTGGGAACATCCCGTGGTTTGAACATGGGTGTTAGCCTGTCCTGCAGGTCTGTGCTGAGCACCAGTGCTGCAGCCTTGGATGGTGAAACTCAGCCTGGAAAACTCATCCATGCCTGCTCCAAGTGCCAGTCTGCACAGCCAAAGTGGGAGCCTGGCAAAGCTCGCTCTCCCCAGCAAAGGAGATTGATCTGGGTCACAGGAGTTTCAACAGGGCTCAGTGGCAGCATGAAGAGGGTTGGGGAGAGGGTGGGTGCAAGAATCCCTGCCAGGTCCCACATGTGGCTGTCCCCAGGGGCACTGCCTCAGCTGTCCCATACCTGGGGTCTTTGTCTCGTTGGGGATGATGCAGCGGACGAAGTGGGGCTGGGTGGAGCGCAGGTTGGTCATCAGCTTGTTGAGATTCTCCTGCAGGGCAGACACAGGGGGTGAGGGGACAGCTCTGCTTCCCTGCAATGCTTCTCTTTCTCCCCAGCTCCTTTCCCCCACAGGCAGGGAGGGAGCAGACTCTGAGAGCCCCTTACAGCACGAGAAAGGAGGAATTTCCTCCTGCTATCCTGGCAGTGGCCATCCCCACCTGGGGCAGGGTCAGTGCCCCCTGCCAGGGTGGGAGACTGTCCCCATGGCAGAGGGGGCTGGCACTGGCAGGTTTTGCTGTGCTACAGAAGTTTGCTGTGCCAGATGCTTCCCAAGTATTTGTAGGCAAAGTTTTGCTGCAGAGGAGAGCCAGGGACACGGGACTGAGCATATTTCTGGTACAGAGCTCTGTGCTCAGCACCTTGCAATTCCAGTGCTGGTGTCCACACTGGCTGCAGACAGAGAATGTTAGGATATGCAGGATTTCCTGCACCTCCACAGTGCTTCACCCCCTCTGGCCGTGACAGAGGGCCCTGCTGTGCCAGACTGCACCTCCTTTTCTCTCCAAGGCAACTCTACCCTTGGTCTTTCCAGCTGCCTTTCCCTGCTTGTACAGGCTCAGCCTGTCCAGGACCAGGGAAAACATCACCTTCCCACAGCTCCACATCACCATGGGGCAACTCCTCACCACAGACCCCCTTCCCCAAGGTCTGTCACTTGTCCAGAAGGAAGAAAGTCACACTTTTCCCTCAACAGGGGCTCTGCCACAGGGCTGCCTTCTGCAAGCACCTTGGCATAGAATCACAGAATATCCTGAGTTTGAAGGAACCCACAAGGATCACCCAGTCCAGCTCCTGGCCCTGCACAGACACCCCAACAATCCCACCCTGTGCCTGGGAGCACTGTCCAAACAGTCCTGGAGCTCTGGCAGCCTCAGGGCTGTGACCACAAGGCTGTCATGGCAGTTCACACCCCTCTGCTGCCTTCCAGTTTGTTGGGGTGTGGTTGGACAAGTGAGCATGGGATGGAGCTGTGTGACATCCTGAGCTGTAAAATGGGCCAGTCACCCCCCAGGACAGGGAGCTGCCTGCTCAGAGACCTGCAGGATCCTCCTCCATTGTCTTCTGCCCAAAGGCTGTCCTTCCCGCTGACAGGAATGAGGAGAGAAGTAGCACAGACTTAAAGTGATGTTCATGTAATTAATTATCTAAACATCACTACAAGTCTTAACTGCCGCTCTCTCAAAGGCGGAGGAGCTGCCACAAGCGTCACGAGGGCAGGAGCAGCACGAGCCCAGCTCCAAGGGAGCTCTGCCAGCCTGGAGCCTCCTGTCCTGCCCCAGGAGCACGGGGACAGGGCTGGGACTCTGCCAGGCACAGGCCCCTTGGCCAGGGATGAGAGGGAGTTGGGGGCTTTGGTCTAGTGGTGGTCCCTCAGGAGCTCTGGTGGACCCTCAGGAGCTCTCATGGTCCTTCAGGCCCCAGGAGGTGCAAGAAACCAAGAGTTTGGCAGGGAAGTGGGACTGCCAGTGGCAGGTTTCCCTCATGGCCCTGGAGGACGGGCTGGCTCTCACCTTGTGCAGCTGTGACACGGTTTGGAAAGAAGCCGCCTTTTTACGTTTCTCCTTGGTCCCTGGCTTGTGAGGTTCCTCTGTTGGGTTGAAATATTGATTGCTTACATCAGCAAAACATCTGCCTGCTTTGAAGGACTCAGGGGCACCCCCAAACACCCCTAAAATTCCCACAGCCCTTGCTGTCTCTAAAGTAGAGGTGGTTGTGCCCTGCTGCAAACCAAAAACACCCAGCAGCTATCTGCCACAGCACCCAGCTCTGGGTGTTGTTCCTCAGCTCCTTCCCACTCCCAAAGTCACAGGGCTACCACAACAACCCTACAACCCCACACAAGCCCTTAAACCAGCAGCCACCTACTAGGATTTTATGGATCAATGTGCATTTTCCCCATGCCTGGGCTGCCAAGGACGGGGATGCTGGGCATGGAGGAAAGGAGGGGAGAGACCAAGGTAAAAAACAGGGTGAGGGGTTTCCTCACCTGAAGCAGAGCCCACATAGTTCTCATAGAGGGAGGCCAGGAGCTTGTTCTGGGATTTCTGGAAGACGGACACCACTGTCTCGTTCAGGGGGTCCTTGTTCTTGTCCAGCCAGCCCACGATGTTGTAGGGCACCTGTCCCAGCACAGGGAAGGTCAGGCCAGCCCTGTCCCTGCCTGGGGAAGGTGTGGGGGCTGGGAGGAGCTGCCAGGGACGTACCACACCAGCGTAGTGCACCACCTCAAAGTGCGCCTCGTATTTGCGCTTCTTGTCCGGCCGCGGCTTCTGGAAGTTGGGCGACTTCCCGATGTGGTTGTCGTAGAGCTTGGACTTGAAGGTCATGTCAGAGGCTTTGGGGAACATGCACTCCTCTTCCAGGATGGACAGGATTCCCATGGGCTGCAGGGAGAGGGGGGATAAAGAGGACTGAGCTGTGTTGCCACGTCCCACCCCAAAACAGGGGATGCTCTGTGCCACTGAGCACGGGCTTGACTTGGGAGAGCCCATCCTAATCCAGGTGCAAGGCTTTGGCCATAGGCCAAGCTGTCACTGGCATATTCCAGGCTGCACCTGACCTCCCAGCCCCATGTGGGACCAGCCAGGCCTGCAAGATGTGGGAGTTTGCCCTGGTCCAACAGATTGTTGAGAAGGAGGGATCCTCTTCAAGATTGTTCCTTTCCAGAAGAAAAATAAGAGTTTCCTTCATGCAATGGTGGAAATATTTTCTACAAGCTGCTCTGAATCAGTGAATGCTCAAGTAAGAAGCACTGATGGGCTGCAAGTGGATAGGAAAAAAGGGGAAAAGATGATTGCTCTCTGAAGGAAAACACTACACCAGGTTTTGTGGGTTCCCAGTGGGTAGAAACAGAATTCCCATGTTCTCATATAGTCAGAATTTGTGTGGAAAAGGTCTCAAGAGGTTGGAGGCTCTGAGATGTAAGTGTGGGGAAAAAAAAGCTGGGCACTGGCCACTGACCAGGGAGGGAATAATCTAATTTTGGTAGCAGAGCACCTCTCTGTTGCAGCCTTTGCAAACAAAGTAGCATTTCCGTGCCCTGCCTCATGCTCTACCTTCTCAATCAGGTCAATGCAGGCCTGCAGGTCCAGGCCAAAGTCAATGAAGACCCATTCGATGCCTTCCTTCTTGTACTCCTCCTGCTCCAGGACAAACATGTGGTGGTTGAAGAACTGTTGCAGTTTCTCGTTGGTGAAGTTGATGCACAGCTGCTCGAAGCTGTTGAACTGCAAGAACAAAACAGATCTGAGTCAGGAGGAGCTCCAGAAGGGAAGGGATTCACTCTTGTGCTTTGCTGGGTGTGAAGGGTGATCTCTGCCAGGCTCAGCTGTGTGGCTACCACAGCAGGTAGCCAGAAATCACTAGAGATGTGCCCACAGCAGTGTTAAATCATTCCTTGAGAGCTGCCTGTTTGCTCCAGATACACCAATTCCGACAAGAGCCCCTTTTCTCACCAAGGCCAGCGCCTTCTTGGAGGAGACAGAGCTCTCAAACCCCAGGGGTCTGAGGTGCCCCTACAACACTCCCTGAACCCACTGCAGGGGCCTGCAGAACTCACATCAAAGATCTCGAAGCCTGCAATGTCCAGCACCCCGATGAAGAACTGCCTGGCCAGCTTGGTGTCCAGGGTCTTGTTGATCCGGGTCACCAGCCACTTGAACATGCGGTCGTAGGTGGCTTTAGCCAGGGCCCCCACAGCATAGAGCACCTGCCAAGGCAAACCCCAGAGCACACAGTGAGCTCCTCCCTGCTCCTGCAGGAGCCACAGCCTGAGAGAGAGCTCCTCCAGCCACATAGATGGACACACAGGTCCAAGAAGTTTGTGGTTACATTTTGCATTCCTCACAAGTGTGCTCCTGCCTACCTGGCCTATCTTTCCTCCAAAGTCTTAGGATATAAATTCAGTGTAAAGAGACATTTTCAGAAGCCTTGTGCCTGGCCAGAGCCTACAGCCCACTTTGCATGAGACACCAGCTCCTGAATTGTGCTCAAGGGCTGGCTTGCACTATTCAGGCCAGGTCTGGGTTCCCAGCTGGGGTGTGGCTGGAATCTGACAAGACACATGTTTGGTGCATTTGAGTCTTCTACAAGATCAACTCAGATGAGTGTTTGGATATCCAGAGTTTTTTAATTTTCAGGGCTGAACTCTTCACAGGAGTGTGACAGTCTCTGAAGCAGATTCATAGAACCTGGACCTGCTCTGGCTGAGACCCAACCCACATTTCAAAGGCACCACACTGAATCGCCAGCCTTGGTTAATGTGAAAAGCTGTCAGCCAGCTCTGCTACCCATTTTCCCTGCTCCTAAAAGCCAATAACTGTGGTGGATACACCTTTTCCTGCTGCTCTGGAGTCTCCTCCTACACCCAAGACAGTGAACTGAAGCACCAGTGGCACACCAGCGTGAGCAGGGGACATGTGTCCTGCTGTCCTGTCACTCACCTGCTCCACGTTCTGACCTTTGGTCACGTACTCATTGCCCACTTTGACACGAGGATGGAGCAGCCCCTTGATGAGGTCAGCTGAGCTGATTCCCATGAGATAGGCAGCTTTGTCAGCACCTGGAAGGCAGCACAAAGGCATGAGGGGCCCACAAGGAGGGTCTGGGAAGGGGGAAAGGAACCAAAACAAAAAACGACCTACTCTTATGATGATCAGTGCTAACCACACTGGTTTTTTCCACCTCCTCCAGTGTCTGATGTGATTTTCCATCTTGGATAGTCTGTGATGCTTTGAAATTTGAACCTCCTGACTGAGAAATTACTGTTTGGAGGTATGCTGCACCTTATCAAGTTTTAGTCCTATCGATCTGGAATTTTCTATGCATTTTCCAGTGGTGGTTTGAATTTCCATGCAGCGAATTTGAATTGACCAGAAGAGAGGTGATTGTCTTTCATAAACTCCTGATAGCAGCAGATTGTAGCTAGCAAATCACCTCTGCAGGGAAATCACTGCCATATCAAAACCTTCATTAATTACCAGGTAGCAGCTAAAGTCTGTGTTGCCAGTCCTGAGGCAAAAAGAACTTTTCCTTCATGAATGTTAATGTGACAAAGACTGATCCAGGTAATCATTTCTGCTGGATCCCTGCTGAAACCTTCCAAGTACATGCTAGAGCTCCCTCTCCTCACCCTCCCACGTGCTGGAAAGTCATCTTCTCCCTTCAGGTTTGCTCTGCAGCATGACTGTTCTTAGATCTGTGAACTGCATTGGATTTTGCTGAGCAAAGCTAGGAAAAGTGTTAGCCAGTGCTTGTGTCCTACTCTAACAGCTGTTCAGGAGGCTGTGCGTTGAGCAGGTCCTGCTCCCAGCCTGGCTCCTCCTCTGTGCATGCCCTGCCTGGAATTCTGTCCAGTGAAGTACAGGAGGTGAAGAGCAGGAGGAGACTGCACAAGATGAAGCCCAGCAGGGGTGTGACAGCCTGTGATGCTGCTGAGACAAGTCAGATGCAGATGAAACCACCTTGCAGAGACTGTCCCAAATATTCCTGCTCAAGGACAAGCCCTTGGTGCACCCCCAGCAGGGCCTAAGTCAGCGAGGGTGTTTGGGATCAGGGTCACTGACCTGCCCAGGCCAGGCATGGGGAGTTATCCCAGCCTGGGCAGGTCTGGAGCACAGAGCCCAACTCACTTTCAGTGCCATCAGCCTCTGCCTGCTCTTCCCGCTGCTTTTGCTTGAACTTCATGTTCCCAAAGTGCATGATGGCCCCCACTATTTTATAGCAGCCGTATTTCTCATCGTTGCTGAAGCCCAGGATGTCCATGGCGTGCTGAGGAGACACAGAGCAGTAGATATAGACCAAATTCACCACGCTGAGCTGAGGGTTGGTTCCTTCTCCCACTGTCTCCTAAGGTACTCTTCCCTGTCCTGGAGCTGGGCAGGGGCACCAAACCAAGGAATCCTGTCCATGGGGTTTGAATGTGGCTCCAGCTCCCACAAGACCCATTTGACAGCAGAAGGACTAGCCTAACATCTGCAAGGAGGAGGTTCTCCAAGCTGAGGGCTCAGGAGGAGACCTGACTGATCTCTACAGCTCCCTAACAAGAGGGAGCAGCCAGGGGGGATCAGGCTCTGCTCCCAGGGAACAGGGACAGGATGGGACAGAACAACCTCAAGTCGTGCCAGGGGACATTCAGGTTGGACATCAAGAGGAATTTCTTTACAGGAAGAGTAGTCAGGC